GATGAACTGACCCCAACCCCCATTCCCTGTCCCCCTGTGCCAGTGAGGGGAGGTAGAATTTGGGAGAGAAGTTAAGCCTGGGAAGCAGGGAGGGTTGGGAGGAGGTGTTTTAAGATTTGGTTTTATTTCTCATTATCCTCTTCTCTGATTGGTAATAAATTTAAATTTGATGGGTTTTTTTTCCCCAAGTCAAGTCTGTTTTGCCCGTGCCAGTAACTGGTGAGTGATCTCTCTCTGTCCTTGTCTCCACCCACAAGCTTTTCATTATATTTTTCTCCTGCTGCCCAGTTGAGGAGGGGGAGTGATAAAGTGAGCTTTGGTGGGCACCTGGCATCCAGCCAGGGTCAACCCACCACAGTATTTAAAGTGTTACCAAGGGGCATTGGAGTAGAAAGGACAGTTCAAGATTAGTGTTGGTTCTGTTTTCATTTTATTGAAGTAGTGCCTATGTACACTAGTCATAGTTTACTATACCTTAAGCATACATATATTGGCTAAATATTATAGACTCCGTATATCATATGTCACGAGAGGATGAGGGGCTTAGTTGCATGTAAGAGATGCTTACAGGCTAGTTTTAGTGGACAGGAGGAGCCTGGGAAGTCTGGAGACAGACACCCTTAGCCAAAGTGCCTCACAGCATTATCGCTGGCTCTGACACTTTCTGCAAACACGACTGCGGGAGGCAGCATTTTATTGGCGTTTATGAGCTCTGTTCTGACCTTTGCAGGCAGTTGAGCAAAATATGAATGTTCACACAAACCACTTTTATTTCAACAACACTAAAGGAAAATAACAAGGAACATTAACTATCGTGTTTTAGATCAAAGGCAGGATAGATTTACTGAGGGAGGTGCTGGGAAGTGATAGTTGCCTTTTCCCTTTAGCATCAGTCAGGATGGGGCATGCCCACTGTCATACGAAATGTCTTTTCTGTCCACCCATACCTGTGGGAGCTCTGAATTTAAGCAGTGATAAATGGTATTTTTAGTCAGTGGATGCCATAGGTTAGAATACTTTAAAATTAAAAACATGCATACTTTGATTTTGCCCTTTGAATTTTCAAGGATTTGTTTTGTCTAGATTATTTACTGTAGCTTCCAGGTAGCAGCTATCAAGAGATTTGGGTAGCAGACAGTTTTCAGGTCTGCGCAGCTTACTAGTTGGGCATAGGAACAATTTGGTTTTAAGGTGGATTTAAACACAGAAGTTCAGTCACACTGATCCAATCAAACTTAATGGTTCAGGATCATCTTTAGATACACTGAGTGCTGAGACACAAGGAGGGGAAAAAAAAAAAAAGCCATGATCAGGTATTTTTAAGACCACACAGCTGTCTCCTGTTTAGAAGGCTTTTGGTCATTCTGTGCAGGTCATGCACAGCAGTCAGCTGTTAGACCTCTATTTCTGTTCTTCTCTTTTACAGACTGTTCTCTTTTCAGGTGTCTGCTCACTGGTAGCGGCATATGTTCACTGTGGATTCTCCCTACTTGGAAATCTATGTCTGTTCAAGATAGAAGGCTTAAATAAAATATCCTTCAGGCTTAGAAATTAGAAGGTTCTTTAAGGATGTTAGACCTGGGTTCTGGGACACATAGCTTTTGTTACTTATTTATAATAATAATTTTAGAACTGCTCAAAAATAATATGAAAAAAAATTCTGTGATCTAGGAAAGGGGCTGCGCTGACTAGTCTTAAAGGTGGCCTTCCCCTCTCTTACCAGAAGCATGTGACTGTAATGCATTTCAGTGGAGTTGATCTCTTTCAGTATGGTAGAACAGCAAGAACCTTAAGTCTATTATGAAGAAATACAATTTTAGTCTACCAGTTGTGCCAAATTTCAGAGACGATAAATATTTTTTAATAGGCTGATATGCATGGAAAGAACAAACCAGCAGTGACCAATGCAATCTCCAACTCTAATATATTTTGTGATTGAACCTTCAGTGCTGGATTTTTACTAGATGCAGTTTTGTATTTTGCTTACTAAAAATATATGAGGGATTTGATATGATCTTTGTAGCAGAACAGTATATAAATTTCCTGAAGACCTGGGGGTAGTGTTCTGCTGATGCTGCTGTTAGACAGTATGCATGAAGGTGCATCTGCCACGGCTTTTTCCCTGTCCCATGGCTCTAGTGCTGCAGGGATGGAATAACAGCATTTCTTAGCACAGTGCTGCCTAAAAAAACTGTCTAGGCAAGGAGACTGTTGGGGATGGGGGTAGACAGGGACATATCTGTAAGATGTCCAGTTGCATAGCATTCCTACAGTGAGCCTGGTACCAGAGCCATTGCTGCAGGTGTGTTTGGTCTCTTCCACGCTGTGGGGTTCATCTTGGTGCACTGGGACAGAAGGGTTCATGCAGGGTGCCCCTGTGTTTGGCTACCACAGCACTGTTCCTGAGGTATTGCTGAGACTTTGGCCTTGTGCTTGGGACTCCTGGATGTCGTGCAGCTGGAGCAGACTTAGGTAAGCCCTCATTCATGGATGGTTTAGCTGTAAGCACAGAAAGCGTATGGCCCCAAGCAATGTACTGTGATGCGGGAGTGACACGTTTCCATCCTGTCTCAGTTTTAGTTATAGAAGTGGCTTGCCTTGTGGCAGGAGTGTTAGACTCCATTTCCTCTCTGGTGCTGATAAGGTGGAGCAGACTCTGTGACTGTTTATCCTGCTTAATTTTTCATTAAATTCTTCAATTAAAACCATGGGCTATGACGTGGCAGCTGACCTCCTGCTCCAGCTGTAGGTGGCCAGTGGAATGGGCTCTCAGGGGGCTGTCCTGGGCAGGGAGTGGGCAGACTTCGGTGCAGATGCTAGACTTGCCTCAATTTCCCCTGTAATTAGATTAATTTCACCCCTAGGGCCTGTGCTTGCCTCTTCCCTCTGAAGGTAAAAAGTAGTATCTGTACCTGCCCCCCAGTGTGTTTTGGGGAAAAACAGAAGACGGAAGAAAATGAAGTGATTCCTTTGGCATGGACACCTACGGTTTATTTTGCTTGAGCAGTCCTCTTTTTTCCTGTAGGTTTTCTTTTACTTTAGTAGAGTATTTATTACAGTTAATTATGTTTAAATGGGCCATGTGGTATTTGGGCACACTGTGCCGTGGGATGGAAACATGTGGCAGTGTTCCTTGGGCAGTAAACTTCTGACACAGCTTGGGTTGAGAGGATTCAGCTGAGACCCTGGCTATTGAGGTTTTAGGAACGTGTGACTTAGTCCAGTAAGCAACATTGAATTTGACCCATGATGATACCTCCCCTATTTTAACTATTTTTATTAGTTGTACACAGATTGATCATTTTACCTTGATGCGGTACTTGCAGAACTGTAATTACAAGTGAATGCTTACAGTGTTGGTAGCTTTGGAGAGCGCTGTATGTGGTTTTTTGCAGGTAATAAAATGGAAAATCCAATTTGCAATTGCAAAGCAAGCCCCTGAGTGATACATGATCTCCATAGCAGCACGGGTCAGAGGGTTGCAGCTAATCACGGTGCTGGCTTGCTTCTCCGGTGGCCTGTGCCTGAAAACTGAATAGCGAGCAGCGTGAGCCTGCGCCTTGAGCCAGCACAGATTTAGACACACACCAGTTTCTAGCTTATTAGGTCCTCTTTGTCACAGTACTTAATCCTGTCTCCTGATCCTTGTTAGAACAGGGCTGCCGAGTCCCTTAATAAAGGAGATGGGTGCGAGGCTCCTAACGAGGCGCACTGAAGCGTGAGGCAGCGAGGGCAATTGCTGCCTGACTGACAGAGGGGTGAAATGCTCCCTGCCTGTTGTTATTCAAAAGAACAGGCCACAGACAGCTGACAGATGAGCTTGCTAAGGTAATGGTAACTTGTTGATAGGCTGATATGAGATGCATGACATCTTTTCACATGGTATAATGGTCTGTCTGTACTCTAATTGTGTTAACCCTTTGTAGGGAGGGAATCGTGTCAAGGATTAGCTGTAATGTAGAGCATGCAACCAAAATGGCCAGCAAGCATGCAGCTTGTAACAGCTCCCGTGGCATGCATGTGTGTTTGTGCAGCTTACACAAGTGCTAGCACATCAGATTGATTTCAGATTTCTCTGACAGCTTGGTGCAGTCAGTCTTCAAAACCTTGTAGTTTTTTTGTTTTGTTTCCCGTAGTTAAAGATTTTTATTATTATTCATTACTTTAAGTTTGTGTGGAGGGTAGGTCTCTCTTCATCATAAAATTCACAAAAATAAATGTAAAATGTAGCACAGATTCCTTCTTTTAATTTAAAGAACACGAGAAAATATTTCAGTGACTGGACTGTCCTGGAATTCAGCCTGTTGTATCCATAGTCATGAAGAGTTTCAGTAGAGCATGTACTTTTTCAGTTTTCGGTGGTAAACATTTACAAAATGAACAAACAAAAAATCCTGAGCAAACCCCTAATAGGTCTCTTAAGTCTTCCTGTCAACAGAATAGGTAAAACTGACATATTGCAAGAATTTTGCTTTTGTTTGTTTTTCTCAGTATCGATAACTATAGCCACAGATCAGTGGAAGGATCTCAGCACAAATAATGCATTGGGCACTGGGAAGGCAAAATGCCTGTTGGGCATCGCTTGTTGACATTATGCTTGGAGCAGTGGTCGAGAAATGCTTTGCAATGCAAACCTTCAGCAGAGCAAACTCCTACCACAGCATCTTTCTCCTTTCATTCCTGCAAGCCACGGTGAAGAGGGCCCAACACCTATGCACTATTAAGCCCTGCTTAAAACTAATTTGATGAATAAATTTTACATGCAATCCTACTGTGCAATATGTAGTAGCACTGAAATGAACAGGGTGGAACTGCATCTATCATAATGGGAACTACTGTGTCATCCTGTTCCTGTCTGCTAAAACTGAAATATTTGCTTTTATTATGTTTGTACTCTCTGAAATGAATTAAGTTTTATATTCACAGCAAGATATTTCTTTCATATTTTTCATATTTCAAATATTTTTCATGTGCTGTTTTGTTTAATACCTACCTTTCAGGTAATTTGGATTTGACTGGTCAAAAGCAAGTCTTCAAAGCAGAGAACAATCCTTGGGTTACCCCTATTGCTGACCAGTTCCAGCTGGGAGTATCTCATGTTTTTGAATACATCCGTTCAGAAACATATAAATAGTAAGTATTACATGTCACTTACATACTGTACCTACCTTGGATTTGGTTTCTTTGTTTCTTTGCCTGTAGTGTGTTTGGCAAAGTGTTACCAGCTGCACCCTTCTTTCATAATTCATGCAGTAGCTTGGTATTCAGGGCAAATATGCAGAACTGTACATTTATATTAAGGAATTTTGCTGACAAGAAGGGAAATAAACATGACTTCGACATGTTAGAAAAGCACAGAGACTGTTTGATGTTGTACTGCATTTGTTGCTTTCCCCTAGGAGCTATTGAGTAACTGAGAGGTGTAAAAGAGCAGTACATTACAAGTACTAATTTTAAGTATATACAGTAAGGTTTTATGGATTGAAGTAGATATGTGTTAATGTTTCTGGATGCAGGTTGTTATATTTGGAAAGAGATGTCCAGAACTGAAACCTGTTTTGATCTGGACTGGGTTACAAAAGCCTACAACCCTGGTAATTCAAATACAGATACTAGTGCTTTCTTCAACAGTGTGACTGAAAAAAAAATAAACCTCACGCTGGGACTTCTTCATTTTAATTCAAAATTCTATGTACAAATGCTAATTTGTTTAGGAAATAATGTCTTTAATCATTCCCTGAATTAAAGTATTTCTTTTCAGTAAAATGTCTATGTTACTGGTCCACGGTAAATCTTTAGATGGGAAGGTATATTTATGTATTTGACAACAACCTTGATGCTGTCTTCCTAGAAACAGTAGGTAGTACAATACACAGTACTACCTCTAGGTTGGAAGGTTTTGCATTTCCCCTTTATTTTAAAAATATATCTTAATAATTTAGAAGCATTTCTGACAATTTTTTTTTTTTTTGTATAGTAGCTGTCTGAACTCAGTTACCAAAGGAGAGTATTAAGGAGTGAAGGTTTTGGGATGCCAATTAAGTAACTGAGATGTAAATTTCTATATGAAACTAAATGATCCAGCAATGGCTTTTGGAGGCTGTTCTTCATTTACAGAATTTAAGTGAAAAGGATCACAGATGGAAGAGTGGTTACAAAAATGGTGTGTCTCAGAAGTGTCCTGATATTCTCTAATATGTGTTCTCAAGATAGATTTATTCATAGATTCAAGTAGGCTGCAACACCCTTCTTCCAGTAGTACTCTGTACTGCAGACATAGTGCAGGGAAACAGCTGTCTGTCTCTTTAGACCACCCATTCCCCATGGACCATTGTGTAGCTGCATCTAGGTTTCTTGATAATTTTTTGTAACTTTTTTATTGTCAATTTTCTATTTCTGTTTGCTGAGCAATGTAGATTAGGGACCCTCATGCAGTTCTCAGAGACCACTCAGAGCATCCTCATCCACCATGAGGACAGCAAAGCTTCAAGGACTGAAGTGCAGTTTTGAGAATTTGACCCATAATCAGTTTGGTGGGGCAAATGGCTGTTATGTATCTATACTGGAAAAAAAATAAATAATGATTTTATAACTGTGGATATATTAAACTGCTCTGGTAACTTCCCTCTGCAGTCAAAATTGACATAAAAGGTTCTGTAATTCATGACTTGCCTCAGCTATTGCTCTTTGTTTAAAATTAGCCATATTATGTTTGCTGTCTTCTTCTTTGTTGAGGTGTAACAGAGTCTTGTTGGGTAATGGACTGATTTTGATTTTGTCCACAGTAAATATTTGAAGCCTATATAGTTAACAGTGTAAGCAAAATCAGACTCTAGTTATTAATAGAGGAAAAAAACAAAACCAAATAATCTTTCTAGGACTCATTCATGGCTTCTACTTTGATCTTAAAAAGTTACTCAGTTAAAATGACATTATTTTCAAAGATTAGTGATGAAAACCGCATGCATGCAGATGTTAATAATTAGATGTAATTTTTTAATTTTCAGCATATAATGATTTTATATTTAAAACATAAATTAAAAATATCTTTATAATTTTGTGAGAATCCCAGTAGCAACTTCTTATGATTCTTGGATGTACTCATTTCACATGCTATAAAGAGAGTTTGTGGATTTTCCTGCTGAAAAAGATAGTGCTTCTTATTTCCAATTTCCTTTAAATATGTGATCTGAGAATTACTTGGATGCCACCTGCTACAGACATTTTTCTGTTTGCATTGTATTTAGGTGTTAAAACTCATAAGCAATGGCATAGTATAGGTAAGAGGTCTAGTAACATTATTGTGCACAAAAGCAAATAAGCTGTGAATACAGAAGAAATGAAAACTCCTTTTTGTGGTGAAATTTTGATATTTTCCTGCTAGCAGCTATACACCTTCTTCTCTCCCTTTCTTTCAGAGCCTATGTCCAGGTAGCTTGTCTTTTTTCTTGTTAAACAAATCATAGGATCGAGATACGAATGTAATAATTTTCTCTGTAGATATCTAACTGAGCAAAATTGAGCTCCTGGGGGTTTTTTGATCATTCAGTGCCAAAAGAAAAATTTAAAAATTAACTTGCAACATTTGATAGACCCAGACAGCTAAACTTTTACTCTTGAGACAATGCAATACAGTTAAATAGATGGTTGGATAGAACGCTGTTTCGATAACCTCACTTCTCACTGAGAAGTGGGAACAGCTCACATACATTAACAGCTGATAGATGAGTAAGTTTACTTTCAGGTACTGGAAGACATGGACTTTCATAAACCAGGAACTATACATCTGCATGGTAGATGGATTTTGAGCTCGAGAGATGGTAATTGTCTCCCCATGCTCATAGTTTTTGGTGGCTGATTGGAAATATTGATTTTACTTTGTTTCCTAGTCTAACATTGTCTATACTAGCTAAGACAGAGTGGGTTTGCTCATACAATTACAAGTGCCAAGTTTCAGGGGCTTAGCAAGTTACATTTCACTAAGTGGTTTATACTAACACATGTTAGTGTTTGCATTGAGTAGAACATCATATTTACTCAGTTGCTGTTACCTTAGCTAGGAAGCTGTAACTCAGTTGGCCACGTACTCACTTGCAGTCACGTTACTAAACCTTAAGGTTTCTACTGGTGGCTGGCACAAGCTGTAACTGCATGCTACAATTGGAGATTTCCATTCATATTCTGTGAAGTTGCACTTGTGAAGCAAGTACCAAATAGATAACAAACCTCTTCTTTCTTTTGTGAAATGTACTGGCTGTTTCAAGCATACTTAGTGAAAAAATTACACCCCATTTTTAGCTTTGTCTTAGGATATTCGTGCTCTTGTGATTAATTAGTAAGTAGGGATGACACCCATGAATGATGATTATGACTAAAATAAAATGTCATTTGTCTCACATACTTTGCATTTTCACACTCCTATTTTACATGGTACTTAAGCACCAAGTATAGAACTGGAATTGCACTTCAGAAGTGTGTTAGCCAGTAGGGCCCTCAGATCAGCTCTTCTTACTTTGTAGCTTCTTTCATTTCCTTTAATTTCCTTACCTTGCATGAGAAATGATACCAGGTGATTTTTTCAGTCCTCATTTTTCAAGGAGGACTTGTCCTGATAAAAGGATGGGCCATGTATTGTGGCAGAAAATGTGTGTGGAGGGGCTCTTAATTCTTAACAGGAAATTCAGCAGCTTTTGCACTTTACTGACTTTTGTTGGGTAAAATATGCCCAACTGCACATATCCTGTGCAGAGTCATTTGGAAATCGGTCAGTTTTAAAAGTATATAATGATTCTTAATCTCTGCCATACTGACTTTTTGGAAGTTAAGTTAGTAAGCTGAATTTTGGCTTTGATTCTATATATACACTTAGAAAGTGCCATTAAACGCTGTGTGATGTCATGATGGTGTTCAAAAGCAGTTGAAGAACTTGCTCAAACAGTGAAAGGTAATGGTAACCTCATCTCCTCAGAGGGGTTAACAATGTTCTGGGTTGGTTTAGGGGTTTTTTTATTCGTGCCTTTAGTCAACTTTCAAAGTGACCTTTATGTTGTAAGAATATTCTCGGAGGATCTTCTCTGTCTGGGGTGCTGACAAAGAGATGATGGATTGTATGATTTAGTGGTTACAAAGTACTTAGACAAGTGCAGACAGACATGCATGTCTGAAAGAAAACAGTGAATTAACTTCCTGTGAAGAATGGAAATCCTGTGATGCTCATCAGGATCAGTGTAAGATAACTAGTGATTTGATTAAGATGAGGTAAAGCTGAGATGTGCAGTGGGTGCTAGTGGGTGGGTTTGGTTGCTGGCATTTACAGCAAAATTAATCCAGAAAGCTGCTCTGTTGGTACATTTCTGGCATTAATCATGTGCTCTTGATCAATCTTCGTGTGAAACTTGCTCTTTGCCTGTTTGTTCCTGTAACAGAGAGAGTAGTGATTCTGTTTTCGTCACAGCAGAGTCTGTTGCAGCCATCATCACCTGATGGTGTAATCTCAGCTAAAACAAAATAATTTGCTCAGTCCTGAGTGCTGAGAATAGCATTCAGACTTATAGCATTTTTAAACTGATGTTGAACCCAGCAATCACCTTTTAACACTTTATTTAATGATTGTTGTCTCCCTGGTTGACCTCCTTATTCCAGTGAGGCAGAATTATGATAGAACAGTCACCATTTGTTAAGTTTCTAGAAAGCAGGTTTTCCCCGGGAGGCTTCAATTTGAAGTCAAGAGTCTCAACAAGATGTTTTGCGAAAGGAGGTAAGTTGGACGTTTCACATTTCCATCAGGAAAGGTGGTAGAAGAGCAAACCATTTTAAAGACTGACACATTAACTCTTAGCAGAGGAAATGGTTTGATAAATGCTATACTGAGCGTATATCGCTTGGCAGTATTGGAATATGTAAAGGGTGAGTGTCATGAGGATGGAGCCAGACTCTCTCAGTGACAGCCAATGGTTGGACAAGGGGCAATGGGTGTGAGCTGGAACACAGGAGGTTCTGCTTAAACTTGAGAAGAAACTTCTTTACAGTGAGGGTGACAGAGCCCTGGAACAGGCTGCCCAGGGAGGTTGTGGAGTCTCCTTCTCTGGAGACATTCAAGACCCGCCTGGACACCTTCCTGTGTGACCTCATCTA